ACATCACCTCCCGCGGCCCTGGGGTCCCGCGGCCAGCCCGTGGCCACCTCCTTCAGCCACCTCGGCTGGTCCACAGGCACGTCGGACGGGTGCAAGCACTCGTGCCGCCCAGCTCAGTGGACCCCAAAGCAAGGGTCCAAACGTCTCTGCGATCGGGATGGGGAAACTGAGGCAGGGGATTGCCAATGGGAGAGCTTAGAAAAGCTCTGCCCAGCAGGGCTGTGCGGGATCGAGCCTGCTTTTGGTTTGGGGTTGTGCACCAGAAGTGCTTTCCCAAGCTCGAATTCAGACTGCGGTGCCAGGGAGAGCGGAGCCGGCTCTGGTGCGTGCCGGTGCAGACTCCGGCGGCGCCGGCAAAGGCTCCCCCCTTCAGCCTGGTGCACGCGATGAGGAGCCGTGGTTTTGCAGCACGCCTGGCTGGTTCGGTCCTGCATTAGCCAAAATGGTTTCTGTGACCTGGAAAACTCCAGCTGGCGCATGCAGACTGCCGTCCTCCTTTATTTTATAATTAATCTAAGCATTACAGGGAAAAGAGTGAGCTGGCTTAGGCTCCCTCTGCGTTGGGCTGACCATCAGTACAACCAACCATCCTCATCCTCACTCTGGAGCTGCGTCAGGGGGCTCAGGGGGGCTGAAGTCGCAGCCACTTTCTCTGCTGTCCATCCTGAGCTTGGCGAATGGCTCGGGCTGCGGAGTGCCTACCTGGGCTTGTATTGGTTTAGGTCTGGTCGAACCCAAAGGTCGTATTTATAATTAGTACACGCTGATGAAATGCTTCTGGCCTGTCAGACAGAAACGCCCCACTGCAAACGGGAGTTTAGACTTGTTTGTGGTTATTTTGAGCAATTAGTCCGTGGAGAAGTCTGGAGGAATTGGGTCTCTCTCTTTAAAACTTAGAAACCGGTTTTGTCTTTGGGAGAAGGAGAGAAATGCTGCCTGAGACAGGGGCTAAAGCTGGAACGAGTGAACCCCTCCGCTTCTATTCAAACCCCTCCTGAACTGGGGGAATTTGGATGCAGTGGGCACCACGCTGCGTTCAGCATGCGAGAGCAGAGGCGTGGGGCGGTGGGGAGGAGCAGGGGGCACTTCCCGGGGTCATGGTGCTCTTGGATGCTAAAAGCTCCCCAAAACACCGTCCCTGGGCTGCCTGGGGCTCCGTGGGGCCATGGGCGGGTGATGCTGCTTGGGGGACTCTGCAGGGACCACGATACTGCCCGGACCCCGACCCCACTGGCCAAACCCCAGCTCCACCTCGACCTCTGCTTCCCTGAGATACCTGTATCAGGCCCTTCAGAGCCGCCTTTGAAGGACTTGCGTTGCCTGCGTATCCTGCCCAAACAGGCCCTAATTTCAGGGGTAAGTCTTGGGCAGGACGAGCAATAAACCTTCAGGTTGGGAGATAGAAATCAGACATTTATTTTTCCTACCCCCTCTAAATTAAATTTTTTTTGGTGTTCCCACCTTCACTTTGAGCTCTTGGATCTGGCTTAAGAAATGTGTAATTTTATTTTAATGATGCTCTTTAAATGTAACTGCTGGGAACTCCGGCAGGAGGGTCAGATGGTGCCTTTCCTCGCCGTGTTTGCTTTCTGGCATCCAGCTGACGGCCGGAGCGAGCCCGGGAGGCCGCGAGCCCCCCTGGCCCCAGCTGCGCTGTTTGTTCTCCGCTCAGCACTGAGCCGGGGAGAAAAGCCGCATTTTCCTCCTTGTTTCAAATTTCTCCGCTCTGCCTGGATTTTCTTCTACGCTGGGAAGTAGCAGAACCACGAGAAGAGGTAAGAGCTCATCTGCGGCCGCCTGGGCTGGCTCCGCTCGACTCCGGAGCTGGTTAATGTTTTCTGCAGCAGGGGCCGAAGGGACGGCCGAGCACGGAAGAGGAGGAGGAGGAGAGCATTGGAGGAAGGCAGGGGCCCCACGGCCATCGCGGCAGGAAAAGCCAGCCCGGAGCGAGCCTTGCTGGTGAGCGGAGCCCGGTCGTGGCGGTGGGAAACGTGCCGTGGGCCGTCAGAGAAACTGCTGCGGGTGTCGGGATTTCCCCAGCAGGAGCTTGCGGCTTCGCTGGGCTGCGGGGGGAGAGCGCCGGGGGTTTGGCGG